TTTCTTTCTTTCTTTCTTTCTTTCTTTCTTTCTTTTCTTCCTTTCCTGTTCTTCCTTCCTTTCCCTCCCTTCCTCCTTTTCTTTTTCTTCCTTCCCTCCCTCTCTCCTTTTCTTTTTTCTTTTCTTCCTTCCTTTCTTTTCTTCCTTCCTTCCCTGCCTCCTTTCCTTCCTTCCTTCCTTCTCTCCCTCTCTCCTCTTTTCTTCCTTCCTTCCTTCCTTCCTTCCTTCCCTCCCTCCCTCTCTCCTTTTCTTTTTTCTTTTCTTCTTTCCTTTCTTTTCTTCCATCCTTCCCTCCCTCCTTTTCTTCCTTCCTTCCCTCCCTCCCTCCTTTTCTTCCTTCCTCCTCTCCCTCCCTCTTTCCTTCCTTCCTTCCTTCCTTCCTTCCTTCCTTTTTTCCCTCCCTCCCTCCCTCCTCCTTCCTTCCTTCTTCCTCTATCTCTGGAGGTTTTCAAGAAGAGACTTGACAGCCACTTGTCTGGAATGGTAAAGGGTATTCCTGCCTAAGCAGGGGGCTGGACTAGAAGACCTCCAAGGTCCCTTCCAACTCCTATTCACACGAGACAGATTTTGTCCTTTGTTTAGCTAACATAGTGATGTTATATCTTACTTTTTATTTTCAAGATAACGACCTTCTGTTTTGATTTGACTTCACTTTTCTCTCTTTTAAAACGGGGGTGAGGTTTTATAAAATCCATTCGGCTGGGATGTAGGAAGTTTTTTTGTTTTTAATCCTGCAGCCGTATGTATGGATCCATCCAATCGCTTCTGACGGCGCTTCATCAAAATCTAACTTCAAACAACCTTGGCGGGTTGTAGAGATTCTCCTTCCTCCAGGCCCTGGTTGTCCCAAAGGGGATTTTTTTCAGGAGGCAAATGGACTTTATTGGTTTTTTTTCTTTTAAAGACGTTTTGCTTCTCCTCCAAGAAGCTTCTTCAGCTCTTTTTCAAGAGGCAACTGGACTATCTTATTGTCCCTTGAAGACGTTTCGCTTCTCATCCCAGAAGCTTCTTCCGATCTGACCGGATGTTGGGGAATGGATGCTTCAAAAAAGAAGCATCTTTGGGACAGCCAGAAATGTTGTCCCAAAGGTGTTTTTTTTTTCAGAGTGAAAATATCCATAGATATATAAACCTTTGTGGTTGGTTTACTGTGAAAAGGAGGGGTTACTTTAATCCTGTCCAACCAACTTTCCTTTTTTTCTTTGTTATGTTATAAAAGGGGTGTCTTAAGTTTTGCAGCTAGAATGTTTATCTATCTATCTATCTATCTATATCTATCTATCTATCTATCTATCTATCTATCTATCTATCTATCTATCTATCTATCTACCTACCTATTTACTTACCTATCTACAGTATCTATCTAACTACCTACCTACTTACCTACCTGCCTTACAGTATCTATTTATTTATCTACCTACCTACCTACCTACCTTCCTACCTACAGTATCTATCTGCCTGCCTGCCTGCCTGCCTGCCTACCTACCTACCTACCTACCTACCTACCTATCTATCTATCTATCTATCTATCTATCTATCTATTTACCTATCTATCTACCTACCTACCTACCTACATTCATCCTGCATTTTTTTTAGGAAATACAGAGGTTTTCTGCTTAATAATCAAAATACTCATTAAAACACAGGGCAGCTGAATCTTTGCTGGGATTTAGGCCTTTTCAAGCTAACTCACACTTTTTTTTACAATTATGCTACTTATACAAAGATTGTTAATGAATGCAAATGCCATTGTATGTGTAAAGCTGTGTCATAATGAGGCATCTTCCGAATTGTTGCTAAATATGGGATTGAATTATAAATGTGAAACTGTCCATTGAATGCAGAAATAAATTCAAGATTTGTGAAGAAAGCACTGGAAATCTACAGGTAGATATGAAGAGCTTTGCAGAGTTGGAAGGGACCTTGTAGGTCATCTAGTCCAACCCTCCTCACCCCCACCCAAGCAGGAGATCCTACAGCATTTCTGACAGGCAGTAGTCCAGTCTCTTCTTGGAGGCCTCCAGCGATGAGAGAGAAATACAATTATTTTATGTACCCAGTTGATTTTATCTACTCTTCTACACTACAGTCAGTCCTCAACTTACAACAGTTCACTTAGTGGCCATTTGAAGCTACAATGGCACTGAGAAAAAGGGACCTGTGACCATTTTTCACACTTAACGACCATTGCAGCGTCCCCAGGGTCACCTGATCAAAATTCAGACCAGCTTGGCCACTGACTCACATTTATGACGGTCGTAGTGTCCCCGGGGGTGTGTGTGTGGTGATCTCCTTTTGTGACCTTTGGATGAGCCGAGTCAATGGGGAGGCCAGAGTCACTTAACAACTGTGTTGCTAACTTCAAACCGGCAGTGATTCACTTAACAAGGTGGCAGGAGAGGTCTTGAAATGGGGGAGGGGGGAAACCCCAAATGGGGGGGAGAGAGGGAGACCCTTGGCTGTCCTCGCTTTCCTCTGAGCCTGATTCCATCAAGGTCTCCGGCTTGAGCAGAGGGGGTTGGGCTAGATGACCTCCAAGGTCCCTTCCAACGCTTCTCATTCTATGATTCGATGTGCAGAAGAAGACCCCTTCCTAGCGCCCCCTCCCTCTCTCCAGGATAGAAGCATCCTTCAGGTCTAGCTCTGCCCTCTCGCTGCAGCCTACTCCCTAGCCCATCCTCCACTTCCCGTCTCCTCTCATCCCTGCTTGGTCTGGTGGTAGGGGAGTGGGAGGCCCTTGGCTGCCCTCTGAGCACCATTCAGTCAGGGTCTCCTGCCTGAGCAGGGGGTTGGACTAGATGACCTCCCCTTCTCCTCCCCTCCCCTCCTCATCCCTGCTCGGTCTGGTGGAGTGCGGGTGGGTGGGGGAGAGGGAGGCCCTTGGTTGCCCTCGCCTGCCTCCGAGCACGGTTCTGTCAGGCTCTCCTGCTTTGAGTAGGGGGTTGGACTAGATGACCTCCATGTGCCCTCCCCTGCTCGGTCTGGTGGAGTGGGCGGGGAGAGAAGGAGGTCCTTGGCAATCTTGGCCAGGTTCCCAGGTCTGCCTCTCCCAAGCGGGGTGTCCTTGAAGCCGGCAAGTCGCTTCCAGGCGCGCCACCACCGCCGCCGCCCCTTAATCACCCGGCGCTGGCAGCGTTGGTGGCACGGGACACCTCACATTGCCCGGCCTTGTGCTCGTACCAGCTTGAGACGGATTAAGGAGGAAGAGGAGGAGGAGGAGGAGGAGGAGGGGCTTCCCTGCCTGCCTGCTCGCCGGCCTTCTCCCTCCCCCCTTTTTTTTAAAGGGGCCCAACCCAATTGGCGGAAGCCAACACTTCGCCCACCCCGGGCATCCTCCGGCACACGGGGGCACCTGGATGGGCAAGCAAAGCAACCCCCTTGTCTTCCCAGGCTCCGCCATACGACAAAGCGCCTGACCCTGACACCCCCCCCTTGCCCCCCCTTGCCCAACCTGGGCCGGGCAAAGGTTGGCTAAGGTTGGCACCTTAGGTTGGCACTCCCTCCCTCTGCCTCCTTCCCCGAATCGTATCCATGGCTGGAGAGACGAGTTTGAGCGGAGAGTCAGTCTGGGACAACCGGCGGGGGTGTGGGGGGGAGGAGGAGGAGGAGGAGGAAGAAGGAGAAGAAGAAGAAGAAGAAGAAGAAGAAGAAGAAGAAGAAGAAGAAGAGGGGGCTGTCTGGAATGAGAGGGGGGAGGGACAGAATGACAAGAGTTGGAAGGGGAGGGCACGTGGAGGTCATCTAGTCCAACCCCCCTGCTTAAGCAGGAGACCCTGACCGAATTGTGCTGAGAGGCAGGTGAAGACAGCCAAGGGCCACCCACTCCCCTACCCCCCCTCCACCAGACCAAGCAGGGATGAGCAGGGGAGGGGAAGTGGAGGATGGGCTAGGGCAGGGGTCTCCAACGTTGGCAACTTTAAGACTTGTGGACTTCAAAGCAAAGCTGGCTGAGGAATTCTGGGAGTTGAACTCCACAAGTCTTAAAGTTGCCAACCTTGGAGACCCCTGGGCTAGGGGGCTAGGCTGCAGCGAAAGGGCAGAGCGAGACCTGAAGGATCCTATCCCGGAGAGAGGGAGGGAACACCTGGGAGGAGGGTCTTCTTCTGCACATCGAATCGTAGAATGACAAGCGTTGGAAAAGGGACCTTGGAGGTCATCTAGCCCAACCCCCTCTGCAGGAGACCCTGCTCCGGCGCGGAAGGCAGCCAAGGGGCCTCCTCCCTCTTTCCCCCTCCACTGAACCAAGCAGCAATGAGCAGGGGAGGGGAAGTGGAGGATGGGTTGGGGAGTGGGATGCGGGGAGACAGGGAGGCTGGTAATAAGCCCCCTTTGTTTTGCAAGAAATCTCCAAAGGCCCTTTAACTTTATTAAATTTTATTTTTTGCAATAAACGTGCCTGGGACGCAGACGTTCCTGGACAGGTGCCCCAGCAATGCCCCCCCTCCGCCCCAGCCCCCAACAGCCAGCCGGCCCAGTCTCGCAGACCGCGGGGAGCCCTCCCTGCATAGCGGGCTTCACCGCAGTGGGGATTCCCAACTCCCTCCGCAGGGGTGACCTCCCCTTCTCCTCCCCTCCCCTTCGTGGGCTTCGCCTGGCCGGAGCTTGTGCCCTTCCTTCCGCTCCGTTCCCAGGCAGCCAGCCAGCCAGCCAGAAGCCCACCCACCTGCTCATCCATCCATCCATCCATCCGGGCGCGATGTGTATTCCCGACTTGCCCCGCACCGCTTCCAGGGTGAGGCTGTCAAAGTCTTCACACACACACACACACACACCCAGTGGGCACAGAATAGAATAGAACAGAATAGAAAATAGAATAGAGGATAGAATGGAATGGAATGGAATGGAATGGAATGGCACGGCACGGCACGGCACGGCACGGAATGGAATAGAGGATAGAAAATAGAATAGAAAATAGAACAGAATAGAATAGAGGATAGAATAGAGAATAGAATAGAATGGAATGGAATGGAATGGAATGGAATGGAATGGAATGGAATGGAATGGCACGGCACGGCACGGAATGGAATAGAGGATAGAAAATATAATAGAAAATATAATAGAATAGAGAACAGAATAGAGGATAGAATAGAGAATAGAATAGAGAATAGAATAGAATAGAGGATAGATAGAGGATAGAGAATAGAATAGAATAGAATAGAATAGAATAGAATAGAATAGAATAGAATAACAGAGTTGGAAGGGACCTTGGAGGTCGTCTAGTCCAACCCCCTGCCTAGTAGTCCCACGCCACCGTGTACAGCTCCAACCTCCCCCCCCAAAAGTCCACTAGTTGTCCTTGGATAGCTGGAAGGGGCAGGATTGGCCCGGGACCCCCCTCCCCTTCCTCCCCTTCCTCCCCTGCGCCTTCTCCGGGGGGGGGGGGGGGGCAGGAGGAGGAGGTGATGACAACCTGACCAACTTGTCGTTGTCGCCTCCCCCTCCCTCTTCTCCTCCATCCGTTCCGGTCGCCTGGCCAACTGTCCCCGCCTCCCGGCGTCCCTGCCCCCCGCTCTTTTCCACCCCTCCTCCCTTCCCCCACCAGCCCCGACTTTGCACGGTACGTTCCGCACGTGAGCCGCGGCTGCTGGGCTGGCTGGCAACGCGGGCGCCCTGCGGGCGAGCGCCTGAGCAGACAGGGAGCTGTCGCGGTGGCACGGAAAGGGGGGGGAGGGGAAGACAGAGGAAAAGAAGGAGGGAGGGAGAGAAAGAAAGGGAGAAGGAAGGAAGGAAGGAAGGAAGGAAGGAAGGAAGGAAAGAAAGAAAGAAAGAAAGAAAGAAAGAAAGAAAGAAAGAAAGAAAGAGGGAGGGAGGGAGGGAAAGAGAAAGAGAAAAGAAAGAGAGGGAGGGAGCGGGGAAAGGCGACCTTCCAGCTTTCACAGCCGTCCTCCCCCCCCCCCCCCCCCCCCCCCCACAGCCCGCCACAAACGGTCGGAGAAGTGGGGGGAAAACAAAGATCGGCCAGTCGTGCCTACAGGCGCCCCGGGTCGCCTTGGCCAGCGTCCGCGGCTTCCGCAAGGTACCGGCTGGCCAGGGAGCGGAGCAGGAGACCGCCTGGCCCGGCATGGATGAAGAGACCCCTCCGTGGCAAGAAAGGCCGGATTTAGAGCAGTTTCGGGACGTCAGAGGGTAGGGCTCCTGAGGAGTCGGGGGTGAAGCCCTTGGGGCTCTCTGAACTTGGTTGCTTTCTTGCAGACGTTTCATTACCCAGCTAGGCAATGTCGTCAGTGCTGGAAGGGAGAGGGGTTTCCAGGGAGGAGGAGGAGAGCATAGCAAAGGCAGAGCGAATCTTCTCTCTCTCTCCCTTCCTTCCTCTCTCCTTTCCCCCTCTCTTTCCCTCGTTCCCTCCTTCCTTCTCTCTCTCTCTCTCTCTCTCTCTCTCCCCCTTTCCCTCGTTCCCTCCTTCTCTCTTTTTCCCCTCCCTCCTTCCCTTTCTCTCGTTCCCTTCCTTCCTCCCTCCCTCCCTCCCTCGCCCCCCCTCTTTAAACCGAGCTGCCTGGGCCCGTGTCGGCGTGTGGGGGCGCGCACGTGCCCTCGCGTGCCTGCCTGCTCCTCCCGCGCGCCGGGGATTTTGCTCTGCGCCTCTGGGGCTCCTCCGGGCATCCTCGGGGAGCGCACGTGTCCCTCTCCCTCCTGACACCCGGCGCTCCCGGGCCGAGCAGCCCGCCGGGTGAAGTGGAGGGAGGGGGAAGCGGGCGGGGAATGCGAGCCTCGCCGGAGACCGAGCCCTCTTTCCCCCCCTTTTTTCCCTTCCTTCTTTCCTTCCTTCCTTCCGCAGCCTGGATTCTTCCCTCTCGCCCAAGTGCCGCTTCAGGAGAAGGATGAAGCGGGACGAGAGCAAGGTAAGACGCTTTTCCAAGCTCCCTTTTTTTTTCTCCTCCAGTAACTTCTTTTTCCAAATAAAATAAAATAATTCAAAAATACAGAAACAGGACGATTCCTTCTTCTTTGAGACTTTATTCCCCCAATTTTTAACCACTGGTCCGAAAGGGGTGTAGGGTTTCCTGCCTAGGCAGGGGGTTGGACTAGAAGACCTCCAAGGTCCCTTCCACCTCTGTGATTCTATTCTATTCAATTCAGAACCTGCAAAACTTGATCCTTTCCTTCCCCTCCTTTGGATTTAGGAAACCTACAAACTGCCCCACCGGCTGATCGAGAAGAAGAGACGCGACCGGATCAATGAATGCATCGCTCTGCTGAAGGATTTGCTCCCGGAACATCTCAAACTGACGGTACTGTGTCTTCCTCTCGGTCGCTATTTGAGTCCCGAGGACAGGCAGTTCTCAGCTTACGACCAGTGGAGCCCCAAATGTATGTTAATAGGCATAGCAATCCCCTTAAATTTCAATACCGCTTCACGGGGCTTTTACAGCCTCTCTCCAAGCGGTTGACAGAATCAGCCTCTTGCCCGCAACCATCTGGGTCCTCATTTTACCCACCTCAGAAGGACCGAAGGCTGAGTCAACCTTGACCCGGTCAGGATTGAACTGCTGGCAGTGGGCAGAGTTTGCCTGCAACACTGCGCCACCAGGAAGGAGATTGAGGAAGGAAGGAAGGAAGGAAGGAGGGAGGGAGGGAGGGAGGAAGGAAGGAAGGAAGGAAGGAGGAAGGAAGGAAGGAAGGAAGGAAGGAAGGAAGGAAGGAAGGAAGGAAGCTATAGCACTTAGACTTATACACCGCTTCATGTGGCTTTTCCAGCCCTCTCTAAGTGGTTTGCAGAGTCAGCCTGTTGCTCCCAACAATCTGGGTCCTCATTTCACCCACCTCAGAAGGAGGGAAGGCTGAGTCAACCATGAGCTGCTCAGGATTGAACTACTAACAGTGGGCCGAATTAGCCTGTTGAAGTCCACATGTCTTAACGTTGCCAAGTTTCAGGGCCCCCTGCTTTAACCGCTACCCCAAACTGGCTCCTATGGTGCTTAGTAAATGTGCTGACCTGGAGTCTTTGAATATTGGGTTGGGTTGGAAATGCAATTTTGGAAGCGAATTCACTTTTAAGCCCCCCCCCCCTTATATTTTTAGTCCCTTTTTCCCAAGGCTCAAGCCTTCCCAAGAATGTTTATGGGTACTTTTTATTCCACAATATTTTTGTAGGCACACAAAGAAGAGACCCCTTTAAAATGGGGTGCCTTGTCACAAGCCAGTTTTGGCTGCCAGGATGTTAAAATAAAAAAAGAAGTGGAGACTCTAGAAAGAGTGCAGAGAAGAGCAACCAAGAGGATTAGGGGACTGGAGGCTAAAACATACGAAGAACAATTGCAGGAATTGAGTATGTCTAGCCTGATGAAAAGAAGAACTAGGGGAGAAATGATAGCAGTGCTCCAATATCTCAGGGGCTGCCCCAAAGAAGAGGCAGTCAAGCTATTCTCCAAAGCCCCAGAGGGCAGGACAAGAAGCAAAGGATGGAAACTCATCAAGGAGAGAGAAGCAGCCTGGAATTAATTAAGGAGAAATTTCCTGGCAGTTAGAACAATTAACCAGTGGAACAGCTTGCCACCAGAAATTGTGGCTGCTCCATCACTGGAGGCTTTTAAGAAGGGACTGGACAATTTGTCTGAAATGGTATAGGGTCTCCTGAGCAGTGGGACAGCAGGTTTCGTGAGCAGGGTGGGTTGGACTAGAAGACCTTTCAGGTCCCTTCCAACTCTGGTTAGTCCATTGAACCAAAACAGGACAGGATTTATTTCAAAACCGATTCTAAGGAAGTTTGGGGAACCTTGTAGAAGATTAGAGGCTGGTTGTGACCAGGGGCCTCCTTTTGTCCTTCCCAGACATTGGGGCACCTGGAGAAGGCCGTTGTGCTGGAATTAACCTTGAAACACGTCAAAACTTTAACCGCCTTAACGGAACAGCAGCATCAGAGAATCATTGCTCTACAGAATGGTAAGGAAAGGGGGGGAAAATCCAGCCTCGGAAAGAATATAAAAGAAAGGGCTAAATGAGGGGTGGAGGGAGAGGGGGAGAGAGAGAAAGAAAGAGAGGGAGACAGAGGAGACGGGGAGAGGGAAGGAGAGAAAGAGAGATGGAGACACAGAGAGGGAGAAGGAGAAGAGAGGGGGAGAGAGGGGGAGATTGGAGAGGAGAGAGAAAAGAGGGAGAGAGGGAAGAGAGAGGGAGGGAGACAGAGGGCGAGAAAAGGGAGGGAGAGAAGAGAGGGGAGAGAGAAAGAGGGGAGAGGGAGAGGGAGGGAAAGGGGGGAGACACAGAGGGAGAGAGCGGAGAGAGAGAGGATGGTTGCTCTACAATTGCTACTGTCTACATTTACTTGAAAGCAAATCTCATTTCACGAGGGCTTTTTGGCCTTTTTCCTCCCTTGTCAAGTCAGTCTTGACTCCTGGCTAATGTCCAAACAAGCCTCTGAAATTTTCTGAATTGCATTTTCAGAAATGCTTTGCCCTGGCCTGCTTCTTCCTAGGGCAGAGAGAGAAAGGGACCGTCCGAGGGCATCTAGCTGGTTTAGTGCCAAAGGCAGGACTAGAACTCAGGGTCTTCCAGCTTCTGAGACCAGGGTCTTTAGCCATCAACTCCCAAGTTTTTGCTCCAGTAAATGATTTTTTTTTTAAAAAAAAGCTTTCATGAGTTACATGTTGGCATACCTGTTGCCCCATAAGGACCTGTTCCCTCCCGTCACTGCTGAAAATGTTGAATCAAAACCTTTTGAGATAGAAAATGTGGAGATTTGATTAAGCCAGGAGTCAAATTCTGCCTCGTTCAGGGTTGAAATGGGGCCTCTCTGAGTTGGGTGGTTTCCTTGCAGAAGTTTCATTATCCCTGATGATGCTACCTAGTTTGCGTCAGGAAACATCTGCAAGAAAACCACAAAACTCAGAGAGCACCAGGGACCCCACAGTCCTCCTCCTCCTCTTCTTCCTCCTCCTCCTCTTCTTCTTCCTCCTCCTCTTCTTCCTCTTCCTCTATTTCTCCCTCCTCCTCTTCCTCCTCTTCTCCCCCCTTTTCTTCCTTCTCTTTTCCTCCCTCTTCCTTCACTTCCTCCTCCTCCTTTATTTCTCCCTCCTCCTCCTCTTCTCCCTCCTTTTCTTCCTTCTCCTTTTTCTCCCTTCTTCTCTTCTTCCTCCTCCTCTTCCTCCTCCTCTTCTCCCTCCTTTTCTTCCTTCTCTTTTTCTCCCTCCTCCTCCTCTTCCTCCTCCTCCTCTTCTTCCTCTTCTCCCTGCTTCTCTTCTTCTTCCTCTTCCTCCTCCTCCTCCTCCTCTTCCTCCTCCTCCTCTTCTCCCTCCTTTTCTTCCTTCTCTTTTTCTCCCTCCTCCTCTTCTTCCTCCTCTTATTCTTCCTCTTCTTCCTCCTCTTCTTCTTCCTCTTCTTCCTCCTCCTTTTCCTCTTCCTCCTCTTCTTCTTCCTCTTCTTCCTCCTCCTTTTCCTCTTCATCCTCTTCTTTCTTTGCAGACTCCCTCTCTTCGGGGCACTCATGATGTTTCCTAGTTTGGGTAAGCTCAGAGAGCACCAAGATCCCACCGGGCGAGGCGCGCTTTCCTCCTGGCCGTTTGCCCACCTTCTCGCCTTTCTTCCCGCAGGGGACGGATCCCTGGAGTCTCCTCCGCAGTCCGACCTGGAGGCTTTCCACTCGGGCTTCCAAACCTGCGCCAAAGAAGTCCTGCACTACCTCGCCCGACCCGAGAGCTGCTCCGGCCGGGAGCAACGCTGCGTCCAGGTGCTCGGCCACCTGCGCGCGGTTTGCGCTCGCTTCCTGCCCGGCTGCCCCCTCTGGATCCCAAAACAGTCGCCGCCGCCGCTGGAGCCGCGTCCCGGCGGGGCCCTGAAGCAGGAGCCCCCTCCCCAGGCCCACTGCGTGCCCGTCATCCAAAGGACTCAAAACTGGGGTAAGCGGTCCGCCCCCCAGCCGCCCCCCAGCGGCCCGGACCAAGCCGGGGAGCCGGACACCGACACGGACAGCGGCTACGGCGGCGAGGGCGAAGGGAAGAAGACCCCACAGGCTGTCTTGAGGGTCAAGCGGGAGCCCGCGGGCGACGGGGTGGGGGGAGCCCCCGAGGGGTCCAAAAGACGCAGGCTGGAGAACGCCGGCAGCCCCTCGCCTGGCCCGGGGCGGGGGGTTGGGGTCTCAGAGACCAGGCCGGCTCTTTTCAACCCCCGGATGGCTTTGGGCGTGGGGGGCGGCATTGGGGGGGCTCTCTTGGCCCACGCCGCCCCCACCGCGTCCTTCTGCTTGCCTTTCTACTTCATCGCCCCGTCCGCTGCCTACCTGCAACCTTTCCTGGAGAAGGTCGGCTGGGAGGCATCGCTTTACCCCGCCGGGGCCGCTGCGGGACCCTTCCCCTTATTCTACCCAGGGATTTCCATCCAGGGGGCCGCCCCCGCGGCTTTGCCTTCCCTTGCCGCGGCCGAGAAAGGGAGCCCGCTTTCAGGGGCAGCCCCCGCACCCCTCGCTTTCCCGGGCAGGGAGACCCCTCTGCTCAGCCCCCTCCCCGGCTTCTCCCCCCCTCCGCAAGCCGGCCGGACTAAAGGCAGACACGGATCCTCGCCCAAAGCTTGAACTGCAGCAGCCCGGCTGGGGGAAACCTTTGCAAAGGGAAGGCGGGGGGGGGGCTCTTCGGGCTAGCATTTAATCCCCCAGGAAATTGGAAGGGGGGCATTCCCAGAATCGTGGGGAAAAGATCGAAATTGGCCATTGATTTAAAGAGAGAAAGAGGGAGGGAGATCCCATTTCTTCCTCCTGATTTTCTGAGGTGCTTTGGGAAACACATGTCTGAAGTGCTGCAGGGGTTTCGTTTCCTTTCCTTCCTTCCCTTTCTCCTTCCTTCCTTCCTTTCCTTCCTTCCCTTTCTTTTCCTTTCCTCTTTCCTTTCCTTTTTCCTTTCCTTCCTTTCTCCTTCCTTTCCTTTCCTTTCCTTTCCTTTCCTTTCCTTTCCTCTCCTTTCCCTTCCTTCCTTCTCCATCACTGGAGGTTTTTAAGAAGAAACCGAACAGCCATTTATAGGGCAAGGGTCTCCAACCTTAGCAACTTTTAAGACTTGTGGACTTCACAAAGCAAAGCTGGCTGAGAAGATCTGGGAGTTGAAGTCCACAAGTCTTAAAGCTGCCAAGGTTGGGGACCTCTAGTAGAGGGTTTCCTGCCAGGCAGGGGGTTGGACTAGAAGACCTCCAGGGTCCCTTCCAACTCGTTATTCTATTATTCTGAATCACATCCCTTTGGAAAGGGGTGAAAAAGAAAGAGAAAGAAAGAGAAAGAAAGAAAGAGGAAAGAAAGAAAGAGAAAGAAAGGAAGGAAGGAGAGAGAGGGAGAAAGAAAGAAAGAAGCAAGCATATTTGGAACAACCCTGACCTATATGAATGAGAATCTCCATAGACATGAAATGGTGCCTGTGAATGACCTTGGGATATGAAGCAAAGGGATTCTGCCTAAAGACTGATCAGATAAGAGACCACAGAGCCCACAGCTACACAAGGGCCAGGGAAAGAGAATCCGCAGGGAGCCTTTCTAGTTTCTCAGGCTGCAAAGGAGATTATGGGAGATTTGTACTTTCAGACCTGCTCAATATTGTTAAAGTAGCCTCACAATAAGGTAAAATTAGCTCATCGGGTTGTGTTTCCTGTGTGGTCTCCCTGATAAGGCTGACAGGAACCGACATTCTCTCGGGCGCAAATTGTCGATTCGAGGCTTCAGCAAAATTTCTTGCACAGGGTTATAAGGCACTTTGACAACAAGCGAGCGTGAGCAGATTTGCACATCGGTGGAGAACAGGAAGAGAAGGGAGGAACTAATAATTAGGCAAAACCATGAACTTGTGCACTAGCTACTTTATTGAGGTGTGGGCCACACGTTGTTCAAACCTGCTTCTGGTTTTTTTTTTCCGGCAGACCTAGAGTGCGAGGTCAAAAAAGTCAAGATGGCGCCTGCAGTCATGGAAGCCAATCCCTCTTCCACCCCAGCCTTTCCCTGCCTTTCCATTACAGATTCAAGCGATGTACGCGGGCGAGTGCTTGCACTAAATACACACTAACACAATTGCTTTGGTCCCCTTTCTGTCACTTGGGAGACATTCTTGATTTCAAATTCCCTTGATTTATGAGGCAGGGTTATAATTTACAAAAACAAAAAACAAAAAACCAGCCACCATCACCTGGCACACCTCCCATTAAAAGTGGAATCTTATGAATGTTTACAGAAATAAATCTTAGCGTCCTCGGTGGGAGGTTTACCACCAGGGAAACATACTGAGGATGGAGGCTGCATCTAACTTTTTGTAAGTTTGCAAATTGTAGTGATTTGTCAACTGTTCCCTTTCACTGATAAGGTTACCTAGTTGGGTAATGAAAGGTCTGGAAGGAAACCACTAAGCTCAAGAGAGCATCAAAGACCCCCAGTAGTCCTCCTCTCCCTTTTAGCACTGATGACATTACCTAGTTGGGTCATGAAACGTCTGCCAAGAAAACCACCCAGCTCATAGAGCACCAAGGGCCCCACAGTCATCTTCCTCCTCCCTGCACACACCCCTCACTTCTAGCACTGATGATGTTACCTAGTTGGGCCATGAAACGTCTGCCCAGAAAACTACCAAGGTCAGAGAGCACCAGGGACCCCAGAGCTCAACCCCGAGCAACAAATACTCTCTTCCACTTTTCTTAAAAACCTCCAGTGATGGAGCACCCATAGTTTCTGAAGGCAAGCTGTTCCACTGATTAATGGTGCCCATTAATGGTGCATAATATAGTAATCAGAATAGAGCTGGAAGGGACCTTGGAGGTCTTCTAGTCCACCCCCCCTGCTCAGACAGGAGACCCTCTACTGTTTCAGACAAGTGTCTGTCCAATCTCTTCTTAAAATCCTCCAATGATGAAGCACCCACAATGTCTGGTGGCAAGCCGTTCCACTGGTTAATTGGCCTCCCTGTTCGGAAGTTTCTCCTTCATTCCAGGTTGCTTCTCTCCTTGGTTAGTTTCCATCCCTTGTTTCTTGCCTTGCCTTCTGGTGCTTTGGAAAATAAGTTGACCCCCTCTTCTTTGGGGCAGCCTCTCAAATACTGGCATCCTGTCCCCGTGCCCCCCCCCCCCCCCCCGGTCCTTTTGTCTAGACTGGCCAAACCCAAATCCTGCAACCCTTCTTCACGTTTTTATCTCCAAGCCTTCAATCAGTCTTGACATCTTTTTTCTTTTTGTAATGTGGGGACTAAAACTTGGTTGCTCTATTCCAGATGTGGTCGATAGAGTGAGTTTGATTTTCTGTTTACCTAGAGCGTACGAGAATTTGGCCAACGTAGGGGAGGTCGCCAACAAGGGGCGTTTTACTGCAATTAACCAACGGGTTTGCAAAAAGGAGATTTAAGGTGAAATCTTTCGGTTTCCAAAAATCCCGCGTTCCCCTTCGGTTGAGAGAAGTTGACAGACGCCGTCATGCAACGAGAGCTTTCTTAACCAGGCTTAAGCCAGAAACCTCATCTCTGGTATTTTTAGGCTGTTACCAAGGTAGAGAAATCTCACTTGAGTGTTGTGTAAGAGGTGAGCTACGGCAGTGTTTGAGGATGAGTGAGTAAACTGAAGACAAATGAGTAATTTCGGGACGGTTTGTTGTTCGCCTCAGACTGTGTCAAGCCAAGTTGTCTCCTTCCCTCCTTCTCTTTGGCTTATTGTTAAGATAGTTGTTCAAGACATCCGAGGAATGATTCTCCCACCATGCTATTTTTGTAGAAGATACGTGCTATTTTGAGTTAAAAAAAAAAAATTTCCTTGGAAGAGGAATAGCAGCAGCAGAAGAGTTGCACTGCTCTATAAAAGCTTATGCTGTCTTAATTTTCTTTTTTTTTAAAAAAATGCTGCTTTGCCAGAAAGGAAGAGAAGAAAAAGGCTGTCTAAAAAAATCAGAATGTGAGGATAGGATATTAATCTTTTTATTGAGTATTTTCAGCTGATCGTGACTTCGGATGTCAAAGATATTTCCAGAATATTTTGTGATTTCAAGAAAGAGATCGTACTGAATAATAATAAAAGATCCTTTAATATATAGTGTGGCTGGTCCAGTTATTGAAGTTCTTTAGCTAACTATGGATTTGTTCTCCTTAAGTTATCACTGTCTTTCCACCAGATCATCGAAGAAGGGCAAGGTATAAAACTCAGGCCTTTGTGCATTTTAGCACCTTTTTAAAAATACAACCTGGGTCTCAAAACATCTCACTGGTTGCACAAAGAACCTTTTTGGAGCATGGATGTGCTCCAAAGCTTTTAGTAATGGCCTATCTTGGAAACTGGCGTACTGCATTTTGTAACGATTCTAGTGTTCTCACCTAGGCTCCCCCAAAAGCATGAAGCCGACTCCTTGTCCTGATAAAACCCCTTTTATTTAATTTGCAGTGAATTCCTCTCCAACAAAGTCCCGGCCAATGGTCTTTCATGAGATTTCACAACGACAGACCTTTATCAGGCTTGGAGAGCTGCCAGGCCGATATCTTCCAAACACCATGCTGTAGCAGACAATACTTGGCAAGAAGTCATCAACATCATCCAAGTGAATGAGCTCTAATGAAGATTTTGTAAAGGATAGGTTCCTGCTTGGGCAGGGGGCTGGACTAGAAGATCTCCAAGGTCCCTTCCAAACTCTGTTATCTGTTACAGGTAGCCCTCGACTTATAACAGCTCATTTAGGGATTGTTCGAAGGGACAACAGCAGCACCGTAAAGAGTGACTTAGGTGTTCTGACCTAGACCTTCCCAAGATCATGAAGCTGACTCCTCGTCTTGATAAAATCCCTTTCATTTAGGTTATAAAGGGAATTCCTCTCCAGCAAAGTCCTGGCGAACAGCCTTTTAAGAGGTTTCACAATGACAGACCTTTATCAGGCTTGGAGAGTTGCCAGGCTGATAGTTTCCAAACTCCATCCTGTAGCAGCAGTTACTTGGCAAGCAGTCAGGAGCAGATCTTCACCCTAATGAATTGAACTAATTGTCTCCCGCAAACACCACTCCCCTTCCACTCCTCCTTTATTCCCTATGGGAGGGGCCATTCACCGTCCACCTGTGCCTTTACTCCTGAGTTGACCCTTGTTCCTTAACAGTTCCCTTCTCCTGGCAGCTCTGTGCATGCGCACACTGGGAACAGGCTCCAGCTGTTCTTCTTCCCCACTTATCTCCGACTCCAAAGGCAGCTGATAACTGTCAGATGGCCCTGGCCCTATCTCTGCCTCTGACACAGAGCCCTCGTCCGAGTCTTCCCCAGACTCCAGGACTGGCCCATGTCCCTCCCCAACCTCCTCACCGTCCAAATCTGCCGCCAGCTCCACTGGCTGCTGGCCGGCCACAACATATAGGACTCAGTGCTCTTCAAAACCAGCCCAACATAACATGCAATGCACTAGTGTAAAGTCCTTGACTTATAACCACCAGAATTTCCATTGCTATAAGCAAGCTGATTGTTAAGCGAGTCGCCCCAAACATGACCTTTTTATTTTTGCTCCCGTTGTTTAACGAATCACTTACTGTCATTAAGCAGATCCCACAGGGCGATTTTGCTCGTCGGAAACCCGGTTTGAAAACCTCATGAAATAATGAGGTTGTTGGATCCGTTGGCTCTTTTATTGGCAATGGAAATTTTATTCAAAAAATAGTAAAGCAGCAAAAATACCGAGCGAATAAATAAATAAAACAGAATTGTTTTGTCATCTCCATACAAGCGATGGCCTTCATCCAAAACATGAAAATACTGTAACAAATAGAATAAATGTGCATGAAGTAATGCCTTAAAAAAAACAAACCAGCTGGAATATAAAAGTAATACTTTTGTGATATATCTATATCTTTATCTCTATCTATTATCTATCTGTCTGGATATATATAGATATATAAATATATCACATATTCGATAATGTATTTAATAAAATACAGCACAGAGTTATTCGATAATGGAAAATAAATCAGAATACAGGTTTGTTATGTACAATGACAATTAAGGCCTAATTCACATTATATAAAGCACGTTAGGAACTTTGTTCAACTCGAGAGAGTCTACAAAAGGAATTTAAAGAAGGAAACTCTCTGGATGACTCCATCAAGGTGCAATGTTGTGCCAGCGAGTAAACCTAACCAATCTTCTCACCTATGGAGAAAACATAAATCTTGCTCAAAGGCTAACCCATCTGATAGACATGCTGCTGAGCTACACATAGTTCACCATTTTCTGAAGTCTAGAAAACACAAAAGACTGGCCTTCATCATGGATTGATAAGACTTCAGATGGTCTTATCTCCATCCCTAAGGGCAGGAGTGCCCAACTTAGCATGGCTGGCTGAGGAATTCTGAGAGTTGAAGTCCACAGGTCTTAAAGTGGCCAAGGCTGGACCTTAGATTAAGGATCTATAAATATCACCCTAGACTTGTTGAAATTCTTCTCCTTTAAAAGCAAAATAGAATGAAAGGTGTTTTTTTGTTGGTATTTGTCCTGTGTTTCTATTCTCAATAAAGATGACGTGAACGATGGAGAAGCAATTAAAAAAATGTGAAGTCCTCTATTCTCCTGCCTAAGCAGGGGGCTGGACTAGAAGACCTCCAAGGTCCCTTCCAACTCTGTTATTCTATTATATTCTACTCCCCACTGGGCTCATCATACCTGCACAATTCATTTTCTTGCATATCTTTTGAAAGTGGATAGCTTATCAAATGCAATGTCGGACTGCGGACTTCATAATATTTGAGTGGGAAGAATTGGGATTCATAGGAAAATTAGAAGGAGGGGAGGGAATGAGGTAGGATGATTTAGGCTGTACCCTAAGAAGAAAATGGATAACTCTATAAAGCACGGTTTTCCATTATTGGAACCCTTTTAATTACATCTCTTTGAGGACTTTTTAATTTCCAAGGACTAAACAGTGCAAATAATCCAATCCACACCATTTAGAACTTCATATTGTAATTTAAGACAATTCTGTTACCAGCTAAACTAAACTTACTTACTGGAGACTTTGGAAGGAAATATTCAAATGTTGGCAGATGGTTAATTTCAGGAGAAGCATTGTAGGAGGCTAAGTTAAGTATCAGTGCAACTCAACTTTTGCCATGAGTCCTTTAGCTCGTGGTTTGTACTTTGCACCAGATGAAATAACTATTTGAATGAACGCAAAGTTAACTTTGGTTGCATTTCAAAATCCCTGCCCCCAAAGGAACACACCAAGGGTCATTTTTGGGTGGAGCAAATCTTGGCTGAAGGACCCATTCACACCATCTCCATCTTTGTTAGCACTTTCCAGAAACGTGGAGCAACGGTTGGCTGACTGTTAAGTTCTGGAAACTGAAACCTTATACATCTGGTAAACATTGAAGCCTGCACATCTGGAGAAAGCTATTACAGAGGTTCTAGGTTGCACTAGATGATATGCAGGCAGTTAAATATAGCAAAATGCACTACTATGCTTTTGCGATTGGATATTGTCGAAGAAAATTCATTTGCCAAACCAGTTGTCCTTTGAATTTATGTACATCAACAATTTTTTGTTTCATGATGTCAAATCTTGTTTTTGTTACAATTCTAGGCAAGGAGAGATTAAATTTCTCCAATGGATATCTGATCAGCAAAATCCAGAATACCAAGGGAATGAAGGAAGATGTATTTACAAAGAGTTTTCTATTTTAATGGGGAGAATCCAAGCTTCTCCTTTGTTGAATCAAATCTTTTGACCAAGTTGTACGGTGTGTACATAACACACTACTAGTTTCGGCTGGATTTGGGCAGTGCATAAGATGTGTGTGTTTTGAATTCTTCGTCTGTTTTCTCCTTCGTGGGAGAACGGGGGATTCTCTTAAAATTGGAGTCACCTTGTTTTTCAGGTAAATGTGTTATCACTTCAAAGAAAACAAGATCATTTCGTTCATCACCCTATTCTCAGAAAAAGGAATACAACTAATAAGGCCTGAATTCTGATTTTACAGTATTATCAAAATGAACATCAGTTTCCAAATAATTCTGAGACATTTCCATAATATCCAGAAACGCAGAAACATCCTGAAATGCTCAAAATATATTCCTGTGTTCTGCTTGACATAATACTTCAAACACTCAGAAATCTAACTGCTAAAATAACACGAACTTGTGACATATGTGCTTATTATTCCTATCGTTCTGGGACATGCATTCTTCTGAAAAACAAAAATCCCTATTCTATTATTTTGGGTAGTAATTGGGTGACGAGCTACATTAGAAATAAATGTGCTTTTATTTAAATAAATGACCATTTCTTCAGGAACCTTTTTTGTATCATCACATTCGGGGCTGAAATAATTTTGCAAACAGTTATAGAAATATATATGCATCTATCTATCTATCTATCTATCTATCTATCTATCTATCTATCTATC